TAATATTATTTAATTGTTTTCCTGGAGATATTCCAGAAGAAGAAGATTCTGTTGTAAGCCCGACAGCAGGGTGAGTAGCATGAGCAGCAACCATTCAACACAGTACGGCGCCATTGTTGTTGTGATACTGTGTCGCGCATGCGTGTTTAGAGGCGACGCTATGACGCATGCGTGTAAGAAAAAAAATGCGGTTAGAGCTTAAAGATGGAAAACGGCGTTTCAAAATCTTCCCACTCTGAAGGCTGAATAAAAAAAAGATCGTTTACAGAGCCCCGAAACGCCGACTTCGTATGGATGAGAGGCTGGTTTGGTGAAAAATTAGTGCGTTAAGGCCAGGGTTTGACTTCGTGTGGACAGGGCCTAAGCCTTTATCACCAAAGAACAAAGCAACAGCTGTCAAGAAAGTGGTAGCATCATGCTGTGGGACTCCACAAAGAGGGTGCTGTTTTACAGTTAGAAGACGACTTTCAATGACTTTAATCGATCTCAGGTCCACAGCTAGATTATGTAGCCTCTTTAAGTGTTTTTCAAACCTGGGTTCCAACTGGCAATAAAAGCTGGTCTAACCCCTCACTGGCAGCTGCTTCTCTGGTGACACCATCACGCTGGGCTAGCATTGATGATGTCATCAGTGTGACAGAAATCAGGGAAGTAAACAATAAAGAGCCACGTGTAAGGAAGTCAGGGTGTAGTCAGTGTGCTTTATTGTTTCTCTGTATTATCTGTCTGAATCCGTCTCACCACAGCTGCTCCATGTTTATCCGATGTAAGCAGAGTTTTTTCCGCTTGTTAGATCAGAAGCGACTGGCGCGGTGTGACGCTGCGTTCAATGGTATCATGTAATTTAGCAGGTCAACCCGCTGTTCTGTCATTTTAGCATACCCGGTCAGAGCAGCATAACCATAGTCAATACCAATTTATCCCTTTAGTTTTAGTTTTGTATGAAAAATGCACTTTAAACTACCTTAAAAGGTGTGTATCCCTTCAATCATGTACAAAATAACTATTATATAATTACTTACTTTTTGGTGTTTATTAAAGTGCATGGTGATCTCACCTTAAATTGTTTTTTTTTGTTTGTAAGTAAAGAGATAAAAGCCTGTCGAGGTAGATTTAAGTATATTTTTCGTACAAAACTAAAGCGATCAGAGATGGGAAGTAACGAAGTACAAATAC